GTATAATTAGGAAATATAGGTTGTTGATGGATAATCATCAATAATAGTCAAGCATGTAGTCATGTTAAGTTAGATTTTCTAGATATATAGAGATATATTTCAGTTAGATAGGCATTCTTCATATCTTTCAAAGACTGCAGAATATGGCATTTAATGTTTTAATAACTTAGGGCTTTTCATGACAATGAGACACGTCTGCTCCTGGCAGCACCAATCTACTTCGAGAGGAAGATGGGCATCGAAGAGGATCCTTATGGAGTTTGATAGCCATTTGGGCAAGAAACTGCTCTTACCTGGACTGATGCATAAACTGGACACAAAGAACCTGCAGAGAGAGGACTGCTGAATTTGCCTAAAGGTGAGATGGTCTTTCGGGGTTCCTGCTTCATAAAAAAATTCGTGAGACATTCTGCAGGACACAGCAAATAGTGACTGAACTTTGAAATTTCCAGCTTCATGGAAATGTCTGCTGGATACAATGGGCCTGAAGGCTGAATATGGATGCCCCAACGGTACAGAGGAACTTTGGGTGACTGTCCAGGCAGCGAGATGTCTCTGTCATTTCTAGAGTTTTGGATTTCTTGTTTGCTTAGGAAATATTATATCCTTCTGGAGTCTTTGATGGAGTTGAAGAATGGTTAGTTATAGTTATAGTTTTCTTATGATAAAGGATAAAATAGATATAAATACTGTAAATGTAATTCTTGCTTGATAACCGTTTTGTTATATGTAATCTTACTATGTTAAAGTTAAGGCTTTTCTTTTTTGTTTAAACAGAAAAAGGGGAAATGATGTGGGAGTGTCTATCTGTTGCTTTCATTGGCTAATTAATAAAGAAACTGCTTGGCCTTTGATAGGACAGAAGGTTAGGTAGGCAGAGTAGACAGAACAGATTGCTGGGAGAAAGAAGCCGAGTCAGGCAGTCACCATGATTCTCCCACTCCAGACAGCCACAGGTTAAGATCTTCCCTGGTAAGCCACTTGGTGGGCTACACAGATTATTAGAAATGGGTTAGATCAATATGTAAGAGCTAGCCAATAAGAGGCTGGAACTAATGGGTTAGGCAGTGTTCAAAAGAATTCAGTTTCTGTGTAATTATTTTGGGTATAAAGCTAGCCTTGAGGGCGGCCGGGTGCCAGGAACATAGCCTGCCACTCCTACTACAACACCCCCCTCCCAGCAGGAAGAAAATAGCCAAAAATCTAAGCAGGGAGAAAATCAGAAATCTAAGATTAGCCGGTTCAGTGACTGTATTTCAGGAACTAGCTGAAGATAAAGTTAGAATTGTAATCTTGAGAATAATCTTGAGAAACAGGGGGTTTCCCCCTTGTGATTATCATTGGTATTTTTGGAATACTCTGTTTCAGGAACTAACTGATTATGACCTTGAGAGTGAACTTGGGAGGCAGGGAGTTGCCCCTTGTGATCACTGGTATTTTCAGAATTTTCTGTGACCCCCCTCCCTGCCCCTTTCAGATTACTGGGCTGTGGTTTCTTCTTATAAAAACCCCTTCTCCAGGTCACTGTGGGTCAAACTCTTCCCCTGCCCATGCAGGTTCCCGTCTCTTCGATTAAAGCCTCGTGTGATTGCAGCAAGGATGGTCTCTCGTGAGTTACTGGGGTGGGGGGTCGTGTTATCCTGAGACTTGAGTGAGAGTCTCCCCACACTGGGGGTCTTCCACTAGAACCAAGCCTATATCACATCAAATAGTTATAAAACCCTTCATCACAAAGGCAATCCTATGCCAGAGGCTAAAGGTGCTCACAGCCCATGTATTTATCACACTGTAGTTCATAAAATTGGAGGCTAGTTGGTGACCTTGCAGACAGGTGTTAAGCCCAGATCCACGAAGTCCCCTCCAAAACCAGCAAGGATACCGAGTCCCATATGTAAAAGCAAAGAGCCAGTTTGCAAACTCCTTCTCTCCACATGTCCAGCGTATTGAAATAAACGGAGATCCCCAAGCTCGGTTAGAGTTGAGTTTTTAAAGTAGTTAAGGTGGGTAGGGGATTTTTAAGGCTCGGCACCCCTGATTGGCTGGCACTTGTCTAGGGGTGTCCTGGTGAGTGTGTACTGGCAGATAATCCTATCTACATCAGTTGGAATATTAGGCATTTCCTTTGGATGGTCTGTTCTTGGGTGGTGCTCAGGTAATCTCAGTTTGTGGTTCTTCCTGCTTCAGAGTAAACTACTAAGACTCAGGCCTCCATTAAACTTATCGAAGGCTGAGTCCTATTCTGGCAGGTGATAATGGTTGGAATTAAAGAACTTCCTTTGGGTGGTCTGTTTCTATTTAACTTATCATGGCTGTCTCCTGAAACAGAAAGGAAATACAGGGAGCTGAGCTGTGTGGAAGCATTCATTCACCTATTGCATTCATGTCCCACTACCTACCCCATCAGGAAGTCAAGCCTGTAATACCCCAAAACTGAACCAAAGGGGCCCATTCCGCAGCGTTCATAGGCACCGTGGTGTCTTCTGTACTGCTCTCCCAGCATTCTTCCCGGCTCAGGGAGAGACGTTTCCTGTTCCAAACACACTATTTCCGGTTGCAAATAAAAGTGTTTCTGCCACAGCTGTTACTGCCAAGTCTGGGAAAGGCTTCTGGTGGTTGACCAGTGATCAGACCTGGAGCAGTGACCTTTGGTGCTGCCTCCACCACTGCCGCTGTCTGGGAAGTCCAGGGCAGGCTCTTGGTGGTCGCAGAGACATCCCAGATGTCGTTGAGGTGTGCAGCCTACAAGTAAAAATAAATGATTTTTTAAAACATAACGGGTGGTGGTCCATAAAATAAAATATAAAATAATAAAAATAGTAAAAATAACAGGCCATCCTGAAGACACTGGAACAGATCTCTTTGGTCTTCAGGCACCAGCATGTCATAGTTATCCAGCCAGCGACTAGGTCCCCATACTAAAGAATCGCCATCCTAGTCCCCTTCATTGCCCTCTATGGACTAAAACACATATCGGAAACACATAGGACACTGTGTAAAAACGAATGTCTGTGTATACCAAATTGTTTTAGTAAAAGACAGGGATAAATCCAGACCCTTCTAGCAGGAAAAGAACCAAAAATCTAGGATTAGCCGGTTCAGTGACTGTTTCAAGAACTAGCTGAAGATAAATTTAGATTGTAATCTTAAGAATAATCTTGAGAAACAGGGAGTTACCCCTTTGTGATTATCACTAATATTTTCAGAATTTTCAATGATCACTGGTATTTTCAGAATTTTCCAATGATGCCCTCCCTACCCCCTTTAGATTACTGGGTTGTGGTTTCTTCCCTTAAATACTCCTTCTCCCAGCTACAGGAGGGCGAACTCCCCTGCGTGGGTTATGAGTCTCAGCGCTGGTACCTGTCAATAAACCTCTGTGTGATTGCAGCAAGGACGGTTTCTGGTGAGTTACTGGGGGGGAAGGGGGGGAGTCGTGTTATTCCTAGACTTGAGTGAGTGTATCCCCACACCGGGGGTCTTTCATTAGGTCTTCAAGTGTTCTACCAAATGATCTTAATTTATCTGATAACTTTTTATAACATCCTGAGCCTTTTTATTTATTTTTTTCCTTTTTTTTTAACATGCTATTCCCAGTTCCCCTCTCCTACCCTCCAGCTACCCACACCTTCTCTTCACCCTGCCCCCAATATGCTCCTCAGAGGGGGTAAGTGGGGGAGTCAACAAATTGTGTCACATCATCACATTGAGGCAGGACCAAGGCCCTCCTGCTCCTGTCTAGGCTGAGCAAGGTTTCTCTTCATTGGAAATGGGCTCCAAACAGCCAGATAATTCATTAGAAGGGGTTTGATAGCTCAGTCATAGGTCTTCAATAGCTCGGTTGGTAGAGCATAGTACAGTAGTGGATGGACCGTGACAATCCTTAGAACCTTTTTATTTTAACGGCTCCTATGGTTATACATCTGCTTGTATTCCTACGGATAGGTTCTTATCTGCACGTATTCCTATGGGTGCTCATTTGCATATGTTCCCATGAGCTGTCTCATTTGCACATATTCATGAGGGTGTTCATTTGCATGTGTTCCTATGGGTGAGCATTCATTTGCATATTCCATATGGCTGTCCTTGCACATGTATTCGTATGGAAGGATGTTCATTTGCATATGTTCATATGGATGATCATTTGCATACATTCATGTGGTTGACTGTTCATTTGTATATGTTCCTATTGGTGCTCGTTTGCATGTGCTTATGAGGATTAGTGTACATTTGCATGTATTAATGTTGATAGAGCTCATTTGCAGATATTCATCAGAGCAAGTGTGTCCTTGTGGAAAAGAGCATGTCCTGGGGGGTGTCATTGTGACAGGAAGTGTGTCTTTATTGGAGGGGATCTCATCTTGTATGAGGAGTCCTTATTGGAGGGTGAGTATCCTGCCCTAGGAGGCCAGTACTTGAGGAAGAGGCAGTGTCCTTGTGGGAGGAGCAGTGTCCCTGTAGCATGAAGAGGCACTATTTGATGGAGGAGATGTGTCTTTGCAGGAGGCATGAACTTGTGGGAGGAAGCATATAATTGTGGGAGGAGTGTCCTTAGGGAGCGTTTCCTTGTGGGTTGAGACTTGTCCAGTGAGTGGGCTTGTCTGGGTAGTGAGCACGTCCTTACAAGGGGCGATTCATAGTGAGAGGGGCGTGTGCTTGAGGGTGTGGGCATGACCTTGTGGGAGTGGGCCTGTCCTTGAGAGAGGAGGCGTGTCTTGTGAGAGTAGAATTGTTCTTGTGTGCAAGTGTGTGAGGAATGTGTCCACGAGAGACGGGGAGTTTTCCTGTGAGAAGGGTCGTGTCTTTTTGGGAGGGGGCAGGCACGTACTAAAAGGAGGTCCGTCCTTCAGGGAGGGACAATGTCACAGCAGGAGGCGTGTCCCTTGGGCAGTGGGCGGGTCCTTGTGGGTTGGGAGTGTTCTTTATTGTGGGGCGTGTTGTTTGAGGGGCGTGTCCTTTAGGTGGGGGGCCTGTCCTCGTGTACGGGGCGTGAGCTGTGGTAAGGTGCGATGAAGTCATCCCTGGCGCAAACACGGCTGCCGCTGCCATGACGCCGCTTCGTCTCATATGAGAGCGCGGCGAAGTCTAGGATATTGAGGAAGAGCAGCGAGGCGCCCACCGCTCAGTTCAATCGTTTGAGTAGTCGCGCTCAGCCTCGATAGGCCTCGTGACGTCTTCAGGACTCGCTCTCCCAGGGTCCTTCGCGGCTCCGGGATTGGCGTTTCCGGTTCCTGAAGCCGCTATTTCAGCTTCCAAATGAAAGTGTTTCCGCCTCCACTGCTACTGTTTCCGGCTCCCGCGGTTGCGACGGCGGAAGTCACGGAAGGAATTCAGTGGTTGGCGAGAGCTCCGACGGAGATCGACGACTTCCGGTGTCGCCACCGCCGTCAGGGCGTCGTGTGTGGGGGCAGGCCCTCGGTGGCGAGGTCGCGGCGTACAAGTAAAGATGGTTGTTAGGGGAGAGTGTATGTAGCAGGATGTTACAGCTGGTTGGTACCATTTGTGCGTGTCTGAATGCTGGCGAGGCTGTTTTAGCACAGCAGCTGGAAGGGGCATATCTGTAGGATCTTGACTCCTACTGCTGTGTGATTCAGGGGAGGCATCCTGAACTGACACCTTGTAATGTATGTGGACATAAATATGTGCGTGTGGGGGTAAAGAATACCGTCAGATAAGGCCTGGTATCTAAATGTATATGTGGTATGTGTGCTTGCAAGTTTCCATAGGGCCTAAAACCTAGCATTGTTGTGGTGTGTGGGATGTTAGGCAGCAGGAGGATGGTGGGTTCTGCGTGGGTTGATATCTAGCAGTGAATGTGGAAATCCACGAAGTCCCCGCAAAAGCCGACAGGGAGACTGAGTCCCATATGTAAAAGCAAAGAGCCTTTATTTCAAGCAAGTTTCCAAACTCGGTCTCTTCGCATGGCATGTCCAGCATATTGGAATAATCGGAGAGCCCCTGTAGGGATAAGTCCCACCCCTTAGGGTGCGTGTTCGCCTCAGGCTAAAGTTTGCCTATAAATTTGGCAAGTGTGCTCCCAGCACTCGCTTCTGCTTTCCTGGTCTCCGCGGGAACGGTAGTTCTGTAAGTCTATTCCTCCATTAAAGCTGTCTATATTTTGACAATCTGTCTGCATTCGCTTATGCCGTTACAAGCCCCGAGCTCACTTAGAATGGGGCTTTATAGTAGAAAAGGTGGGGGTGAGGGGTTTCTGAGGTTTAGGACCCCCGCTTGACTGACATTTATCTAGGGGTGTCCTGGTTGGAATCTTAGGCAGAGGCCTACTCTGGCAGGTGATAATGGTTAGAAGTAAATAACTTCTTTGGGTGACCTGCCCTTTGCGTATCAGGGCTGGCTCCCACAGTAGGGATGGGCAGTGTGTGCAAGTCTAGGCATACTGGGCCCCAGAAGCAGCTGCATGGAGACTCAGCAGCTCTAACAAGTCCTATACTTCTGCTACCCTCAACATCCTCCTACTGAGCTGGAAGTGAACCCCCAGCATTGGACAGAGTTCATTCTATTGCTTTCCCACATCTTCATGCGGTCATCTTGGGGTCACACAGGTGTAAGAGTGATGAGGAGAACACATCTGCTTGTCATTCTGGACACTCCCTCCTGCTGCCTAGCACTGAACCACCATCTTAGCTTAGAACAGGGGTTTGTTGTCTCCTGTGGATATAGGGCCAGGTTTCCACTAGAAGTCCTAGGATGTGGACTCCTTTAGCCATGCTCCAGCTTCTGTTTGGTTTTTGTTTGTTTTTTGTTGTGGTTTTTTTTTGTTGTTGTTGTTGTTGTTTTTGCTGATGGATGCAGAGCTCATGTTCACAGTTCATCTTCTCTTTGTTGTTTCTGATCTCCTTTTTTATGAGGCAGAAACTTACAAAGGTCTCTTCAGTAACTGTTATGTGAACATTGTAGTGTTTGGATCTGGAGTCACCTGTAATATTGAGATTATGTTCAGTTTTCTAATGGGTTCCTTATGGTTTCCTTTTCCACACTTGTCCTGCAGCCCCTTCTGGACCGACCATGTTTTCTACCTTGATTTCCCTGGGGTGCCTGTGACAAAATAAGCAGATATGATGTAGGTGAGTCTGTTGCTGGTGTAATGGAAAAATTAAGCAGAAATGCTGCAGGTTCCCAAGCGGAGGCAGTGGGCCATGTGGCAGCAGGCAGGGACAGCTTCAGGTCCCCAAGCCATGGCTGGTCCAGGGCAGGGAGACACATGGTGGCAGGCAAGAGACAGAGACATGGATAGACACACCATGCAGAGTGAGGTTGGATATTTATTCAGAGGGTTATGGAGGGGGAAGGGAGAAGGGGAGAAGAGCAGAGAGAGGGAAGGACAGAAAGGGGGAAGGGGAGAAGTGGGGAGAGGCAGAAAAGGGGAAGAACTCAGGCTGTAAGCTGAAGATCAGCCTGTCTCAGCAGACTGGGATGGGGGTGAGGGGAGCTCGTGGCTTATCTCTTAAAGAGACAGAAAGATCCTTACAACTGGGGTTTGTGTTGGATTCGATATGTCCAGACTTCATTACTTTTCTATTGGGCTTTCTGGGTCTCTGATGCTTTGTGGGAAGTGCTGGGGCCAGAATTTCAGGGTCTAGAGGAATTTTCTGCCCTCTACCATCTCTTCTAAGATTAGACTCAGTTGGTTTCTACATTTGGTGTTAGGACATCATTTTATTGAGTCTATCTGTGAAAAAAAAATTGTTCCATAACAACAGTGACTGCTGCTGAGGAGCAGGGTATCTGAGAGTTTATATTCCTTTGGATTCTTCTCAGACATTCTAAAGTGTTTTGAATACCAACTAGAATAAATTCTGTTGGAATTCTCCCTCAGTACCTCGTTGTCTCTATCCAATACCAGTGAGATACAACTGCCATCTTCATGATTATTGGTGGCCTGGGAAAGAGGGTCCCTGGACCTTCTCAGGCAGTTCAGTCTAGAAGCTATGTAGAGGTGACATTCACATCCCAAGGCTCTGCTGAGGCACTTTCTCTATCTGCTCAGGTAGGTTTCCTGGGTCATCTGTGAGGACAGAGAGGCTTGGGGACCTTTCTGTACTGTCAAAATATACACAGCAATGAAGTAGGAAAGGGATTCCACTATAACCATCCACTGGGAGACTTTCACAAGGGAATCTTCCTGTTGTCCCCAGATCTTGCTAAGAACTGGTGGTGGTGGTCTGCAGTTGGATGTTGGAACATAAACCGTTTGATTGCCCTACACAACATGTTCTGAAGTTGTGTGGAGCCTCTGAGCTGCTCTAAAACTCAGGAAGTAACCTGCTAGTTTGCCATAGAATGGAGAGGCTAGAAGTGCTCTCCTCCATCATTGGCATTAGTGCTGAGTGTGCATGTCCTCAGGTCAGGAATTCCCTGGGTATGTTTCAGGGTGTGGCCTGGCACCTACAAAATTAAGAGTTATCATTGACCAATGAAGAAACTGGATGAGAGTTTCTTCTGTAAACCCCAAGCACAAGACCTTGGCAGGCTTACTTTCTCTCTCTCTCTCTCTCTCTCTCTCTCTCTCTCTCTCTCTCTCTCTCTCTCTCTC